CGACCAGACCAACTGCAAATTGAGCTCTCACTACAGTCCTGCTCACTTTTTGTCGGCCTCATCTTCCAAAAGTGCTCCGAGACCCTCAATTTCTCGGAGCTCTCGCCATAGTCACGTGCACTTTTTGCTGACCTCATCTTCCGAAACTGCCCCGGCTCCGTCAGTTTTTTCACATTTTTGAACAGCAAATCGAGCTCCCGCTACAATCCTGTGCACTTTTTGTCGGCAACTTTCCCAGACCGAGGCCCGCAACCCAGGAAACAGAGACCCTACTGCGGCGACCCAAGCAGCCGCTTTACCCGAAAAAACACAAGTTTCGCGCGCGCGAGAGTGTTTTTTTCACCCGTGAATGCACACGCTTCCGAACTGTCACTCTTCCCAACTACTTGATGAGGGGTGGTTGATATGATGATATGGCCGACGTGATGAGGCATGAACATGATGACAAAACTGCCCCTGGACATTTGTGCGTAACTCAGAAGTTCCAAACTAAACTTTTTATGGATAGCAAACCATCTTGTTTTTGGAACACCGAAATATTGAGCCGTGTTCACTCTGTCATCCTGTACACCCGTTGATAGGGGGTCCCGTGCTGGAACATGATAACCGCATATAGCACTATATCCCCGATATGACTCCATCCCATCCATGGGAGGATACTGGGACCATACCCGAGCTTCCCCGCAGAGACAGCCCTTGACGCATGCAACAGCTCCTGCGCGGAGCTGCCGCATGGGGATTCAAGCGCGGCGTTGGGTGGAAAGCAACAATCACAAAGAAGGGACCAGAAACATGTGGCAACAAATTACCTTGCAACCGCCAATGCGTTCCATTTTGTCTTCTGGTTTGAAGAAGCAGGAGCATAGCCACCAAAATGAGCGAAGGAACGTGCTAAGCAATCCTATAGTGGGTCAAACTCAGGCCTTTTTGGAAAGTGCCAACATGTGCCAGCAGTCCTATACATTAAAAAACAATAGCAATATTGGCGAGCACACGGATTTAATTTCTTGCGCTTGCCATGGTCCGAGCGCCTCCTTTCGCGCAGAAGCCTTTGCATCTGCCTCGTCGGAACTTGGGGAGCCCGGGTGATTTGACATGGCATGCAGAGGGGCCCTCCTCCCAGCTATGGGATACATTGGGTTGTGATCAGTGGGCTGTTGACTGGAGCACCAGTGTTTTGACCCGCCCCCTGGCCCACAGCCATGTAGTTGAAACCATGTCTGCAACTGCTAGGGGCCCCTTTCGTGCACCATGGACGGTGCCATGCTCAACCCAAACAAAGGTCCAAAATCAGAAAATGGGAAATGGGAATATGGGATGATGATATGACAGGATATCAACAATGGAGATACCAATGCTGGTCAAGACCTTACATGGTAATCTAATGGTTGCCACTTTCACAAGGGATGGAACATGACAAATACTGGAAGCCATCATTTCCAACCAGCATGTTCGTTTTCCGAACTTGCTATATTATGTACAAATTGCTTCGAATGGATGGGGGCCCCAGGTCCTCTAAGTTTGTGCCTGAACATTGATGGAACCAACTTGGTCCGGTTACACCGAAGATCGAGCTCCAAGGGGCATGCCGCAGAAGCCATCAAGGTTGGTCTAATTCATGAAGCAAGTAAGTCTGTGACTGGGGTTTCCAACCTCTGAGAAACAATCTGCTCTGACTACACTCAGACAACCTCTTCATGACTATCCAAACGCTAGCGGCTAGAAGGCCCGTTTGGCTTGACACGGTCTTTATCTGGAGCGCGTGAAGCCATGCATGAAACACTGGGTTCTTAGAATTTGTTCTGAATGTAGGACTACAATGCTCGCAAAATGCCACGCGACAAGGACTGATAATGGAAAAAACACAGCAACAATAAAACGCGTGATGGAACACTGAACGGCCCGCTTCAGATCGCTGAATTTCACCAAGGATGTACCCAATACCGATGCGGATTTTCACGGCCTACCCAAATGCCTGCCCCCAACAGGATGACCAACACCTCCAAGCGCAGCTTTTCCTGCTCGGCTTCCTCAATTTCGGCCTCGCCAAGGTTTGATAGAGGGGCTTTGGAATTGCCAGGTTTCATGATGCTGTCGGTTCTATGAGAAGACCTAGCTCACAGCTCCCACATGTTCCAACCCAACAGTAAAACGCTCGTGGATGCCTCTGGCAGGTCGCACGAAAGTCATCAACCAGGATGAAAAAAACAAGTAAACTTTTTGAACCTTCCCTTCTGTTTTACCCCTCTCTCTCTTTTGCGTCTTGTCGTATTAATGCCGAGGCATCTATGACCTACCATGCACATGGTCCGTTTGCCAAAAAAGTGCATGATGCATGACGAATACGAACAAGGTAAGCTATGCCAATGATATAACGATATAACATAGCAAAAGCGCCCTTTCTATGCCTTTGGCCTCGGCCCGTTTCCCAGGTTCCCCCCCCCCCGCTCTCTCTCTCTCTCTCAGAGTGTTTAGTACACATGCACGTGGAAAGCATTGTTCTTTGCCACGCAGAATACCATTCAACAACGTTCGCCTATCTGTACTAAGGTCCTTGTCATCGATCCAGATTTATGCGCAACTAATACTAAAGGGACATACCAGTACGATACTAAGGATGTACCAGTAGTACCGCACAAGGCGGTGGCGGAAGTTTCAAAAATAGGAAACCTATAGGAGAGATTGGTTGCTGTGAATCAGGGATGGCAGAGCGAATCCACTGATGGACCGAAAGGTGCTTGAGGTCTCCTCTCTCTCTCTCTTTCTTTCTCTGACTATCTACCCACCTACCGACCTATCTTCTATGTATCTATCTATCTATCGATCTATCTATCTATCTATCTCTCTCTCTCTCTTTCATCTAATTACCTATCTATCTATCTATCGATCTATCTATCTATCTCTCTCTCTCTCTCTTTCATCTAATTACCTATCTATCTATCTATCCATCTATCTATCTATCTATCTATCTAATCTAATCTATCTATTTATATCTCTCTCTCTCTCTCTATCTATTATCTATCTATCTACCTATCTATCTATCTATCAATCTATCTATCTATCTATCTATCTGTCTATCTGTCGACCTGTCTATCTGTGGTGCAGTGTCATTCAGTGTAATGTAGTGTAGTGTAATGTAGTGTAGTGGAGTGTAGTGGACTGTAGTGTAGTGTAGTGTAATGTAGTGTAGTAGTTGTGTATTCGTAGTTGTAGTTGTAGTGTAGTGGAGTGTAGTGTAATGTAGTGAAGTGTAGTGTAATTTAGTGTAGTGGAGTGTAGTTGTGTAATTGTAGTTGTAGTGTAGTGGAGTGTAGTGTAATGTAGTGAAGTGTAGTGGAAGGTAGTGTAGTGTAATGTAATGTAGTGTAGTGGAGTGTAGTGTAATGTAGTGTGGTGTGATTTAGTGTAGTGGAGTGTAGTTGTGTAGTTGTAGTTGTAGTGTTGTGTAATGTAGTGTAGTGTAGTGCAGCGCAGTGAAGTGGAGTGTAGTGTAGTGTAATGTAGTGTAGTGAAGCGAAGCGACATCTGAACCTCCAAAAGTGGTCCGAAACCCTGGTGTATATAACATTTTGACTTCGACATGTGCTTCGCGCCACAACGGCGTGCACTTTTTCGACATCTGAACCTCCAAAAGTGGCGCGAACATGTGGCGTTTTGCACACTTTCACTTCGAAATGTGCTTCGCGCCACAACTGCGTGCACTTTTTCGACATCTCAACTTCCAAAAGTGGTCCGAGGCTGAGGCGTTTTGTACATTTTGACTTCGAAATGTGCTTCGCGCCACAACGGCGTGCACTTTTTCGACATCTCAACTTCCAAAAGTGGTCCGAAGCTGAGGTGTTTTATACATTTTGACTTGGAAATGTGCTTCGCGCCAGAGCGGCGTGCACTTTTTCGACATCTCAACTTCCAAAAGTGGTCCGACAATGGTGTGTTTTGTGCATTTTGACTTCGAAATGTGCTTCGCGCCGCAACGGCGTGCAATTTTTCATCTCTCATCTGGCCACAAGGCTCCGCACCCGCCGCTTTAGCGAGTCTACTTTTCGACCCCCGGAGCCACAAATCATTGGGAAAACACAGTGTTTCGCGACTTTCCTACATTTTCGCGCATCTGCATCTTCTTTCTTCTGACTCTTTCTCTTCTACTCTTCTCTCTTGTAATCTTTCTCTTCTCTCTGCCTCTGCCCTGCTCTGCTTTTCATCTGTCCATATTTTCGGAAGTTTGACTTCTAAACTTCCTTCCGCCAGTATGATCTGTCACATACCCCACCATGATTTTTGGTGACTAAATCATCAAAACACTAAACGCTCTTCTTGGCAAGCGTTTACCTGTTACTTGGACATTTTTTTGGAGACCACGGGTTGATCATCACCAATCCGAATCCAATTGTCATCAACCATTTCGCGTTCTCATCTAACCTTCCTGCTGTTACTGTTACTGCTTATCCCTCAACTTTTCGCCCCGCCAGCGGCACATACCCTGACCTGGACCCGTGCGAGTTGCTCCTCAAAGACCAGCCGCTGTTGATGCAAACGTTCCTGTTCCCAAGGCAAGGGCCCAGACCATTAATTGGTCAAGGAAGCAAGCAGGCCATAAAACCGAGTAAATTACTTGATTGTCTGACTAAACAGAAGCCATACATGTTACACAAGAAACATCAATCTGCATTCTGCATCAAAGAGGTGAACCACTTTGACCTGATTTGCCACGCGGTACAGGATTTCCTCGACTAGCCATCAGAAAGGAGGGCTTAGTTGAAGGAAAACATATTGGAACAACAGTTCATGCTTCATCTGGCAGACAGAATACAGCTTTTTATGGTTTAATCAGCAATTGACTGGAGCGTAGCTTGCTTGATTGATATATTCAACAAAGCACCGATGGTCGGTGCTTTGCAAAAAGACAGTTGGAATCGTCTACCAAGGGATGGACGCGACGAAGCTCCCAAATCATCAGCCGGGAAGAACGGAACCTGAACGGCAGCCAACTGAGAACGCTTTTTTGCCCCACCGGTGCGTGCAGCAACATGTCCTTTGCATGTGTTTGGCATATCAACCAGGTGGGTTCTCCGTCTCCTCCATGGTTCCTGTGCGGCAAAAAGCAGTGCCAAGCCCCACTTTGGCCAGTCCTAGCATGAGTTGAGTTGCCTAGAAGTTCCAACTGAAATCATGCGAAAACTAGATACTGATAATTTCTTTGTGTCGCCTTCTCGAAGCGGGTCCTGGGATTCCAAAGCCCAAACGCAAGCCACTAGAGAATCGTTTGTTGATTTTTTCAGCATGAGCTGGGAATAAATTCCAAATTGAAGGGTGCATTGCCGTTCCCTGTGGTGGAAATCGCGTCTGAAAATAATCAGAGGAAGTTTGGAAGTCGATACTTCCGTCTAACGGATCTTTGGGCGTCACAGCAGTGGATGTCACAGCAGTGGATGTCACAGCAATGGATGTTACAGCAATGGATGTTACAGCAATGGATGTCACAGCAATGGATGTTACAGCAGTGGATGTCACAGCAGTGGACGTCACAGAAATCGATGTCACAGAAATTGATGTCACAGCAGTGGATGTCACAGCAGTGGATGTCACAGCAGTGGATGTCACAGCAGTGGATGTCACAGCAATGGTTGTCACAGGAGTGGATGTCACAGCAATGGATGCACAGCAGTATGAGGGTGAGATGATCTCAAAGTCAGTTAAGATGAGACTCAATTGAGATGAGGGTGAGATGATCTCAGAGTGAGTTGAGATGAGCGTGAAGTCTCGCACGAAAGCTCGGTTTTCATATCTTCAACTCTTCAACTTTCACCTTTGGAGGGAGGTCTGGCACGAAAGCTTCATTTGCACATCTTCAACTTTCACTTTTTGAGGGAGGCCTCGCACAAAAGCTCCGTTTTCACATCTTCAACTGTCACTTTTTAAGGGGTGTCTCGCACAAAAGCTTCGCTTTCACAACTTCTTTCAGTTTTGGAGGAAGGCCTCGCACGAAAACTTCGTCTTCACATCTTTAACTATCAGTTTTTGAGGGAGATCTCGCAGGAAAGCTCCGTTTTCACAACTTCAGCTTTCAGTTTTGGAGGGAGGTCTTGCACGAAAGCTCCGTTTGCACATCTTCAACTTTGACTTTTTCAGGGAGGTCTTGCACGAAAACTTTGTTTTCACATCTTCAACTTTTACCTTCTGAGCGAGGTCTCGCTCGCAATGCATTTTTGAAAGATAGCGGATGCACAAAATGCTGTGTTTAGCAGCTGAAAACGCAGCTTGGAAATGGATGGCGAAGGTCTGCCGCGCGCCGTGTTCGAGACCGGGGTGTCTTCAAATCATGCTCGGATCGGCCCTGGTGTGTAGCTGCTGCTTCAGGCGTCGCTTTGCCAACTTCAAGCCGTTTGTTTTTGAGGAAGGTCTTGCACGAAAGCTTTGTTTTCACATCTTCAACTATCACCTTTTGAGGGAGGCCTCGCACGAAAACTTCTTTCACATCTTCTACTTTCACGTTTTCAGGGAGTCTCGCACGAAAAGCTCCGTTTTCACAACTTCAACTTTCAGTTTTGGAGGGTGGCCTTGCATGATAGTTTTTTTACATCTTCAAAGTGGAGTTTTTAGATTTCGCGCGAAAGCTTCGTTTGCACAACTTCGACTTTCAGTTTTGGAGGGAAGTCTGGCACGAAAGCTCCGTGTTCACATCTTCAGCTTTCAGTTTTGGAGGGAACTCTCGCACGAAAGCTTTTCACAAGTTGAAGTTGCAGTTCAATTGTGGCAAGTTTGTGGCAATGAGTTTTCCCTGATTGTTCTCGGCTTTTGCCTGCGGGTCGAAAGCCGCACATGTCGGTGAGCACGCTTTTTATTGGTGATTTTTGCAACAAGATTTCGACCCGGTGTCTTGCTGCTGCAATTATTATGATGTTGCGTTTCGCAGGAGTGGGATGGGGTGGGGGAGCTAAAGAAGTTGTTTCGCCTGAGTTTCAACATGCTCCTGATGCAACGCTATGGACATTCTCAAGTAGCTTATGGCGCGCTCTTGATGCTACGCCCTAGGCTTCCTCAAGTACTTTCTGACATGCACTTGATGATGCGCGGTGGGCTTTCTCAAGTAACTTCTGACACCTCTTGATGGTACTGATGCTATGCTATGGACTTGCTCCAGTAGCTTTTGACACGCTCTTGATGCTACTAATGCTACACAATGGACTTTCGCAAGTAACTTCTGACACACCCTAGATGCTACTGATTCTGCGCTATGGGCTTTCTCAAGTAGACATCCTCTTGATGTTACGGTATGGGCTTTCTCAAAAAACTTTTGACGCGTTCTCGATGCTAATGATGCTATGCTATGGGCTTTCTCAAAAAACTTTTGACACGCTTCTGATGCTACTGATGCTACGCTATGGGCTTTCTCAAATAACATCTGACACTCGCTTGATGCTACTGACGCTACGCTATGGACTTCCTCAGGTAGCTTCTGATAAGCTCTTGATGCTACTGACGCTACGCTATGAACTTTCTCAAGTAACTCCTGACAGGCTCTTGATGTTACGCGATGGACTTTCTCAAGTAACTTTTGACACGCCCTTGATGCTACGCTCTCGGCATTCACAAGTAACTTCTGACATGCGCACGATGTTATTCAATGGGCTTTCTCATGCAAATTCTGATACAATCTTGATGTTACGCTATGGGCTTTCTCAAGTAGACACGCTCTTGGTGTTAGGCTATGGACTTTCTCAGGCAACTTCTGAAATGCTCTTGATGCTACTGATGCTACGCTATGGGCTTTCTCAAGAAACAATTGACACGCTCTACATAAGCAATGTTTTTGACTGGGTGAATCCACAATGGGACGCTCATGCCATCTTGTCTACTGGTGCTACGCTAGCGGCTACGGGCTTTCTCAAATAACTTTTGGCACGCTCTTGATGCTACTGATGCTAGGCAATGGGCTTTCTCAAGTAACTTCTGACACGGTTCTGATGCTCCTGATGATATGCTATGGGCTGACTCAAATAACTTCTGACACACGCTTGATGCTACTGGTGCTATGCTATGGACTTTCTCATGTAACTCCTGACACGCTCTTGATGTTACGCTATGGACTTTCTCAATAAGTAACTCTTGACACGCTCTTGGTGCTATGCTCTGGACTTGCTCAAGTAATTTCCGGCACGCTCTTGATGCTACTGATGCTATGCTATGGACTTTCTCAAGTAACTTTTGACACGCTCTTGATGCTACTGATGCTACGCCACGCCACGGGCTTTCTCAAGTAACTTATGACACGCTCTTGATGTTTCTTCAGTAACTTCTGACATGCTTTTGATGCTGCGCTACCGTTGACAGCGTGTGCGTTCATTTGAAAAGAACATCCTTGCCAGTTTCAGCTCCAAACCACCCCAAATTGAAACTACTATTCGTGCTTGGCAATGGAGATTCACGCGCTCTCATGTCACTTACCTGTGTGTGGCTGCTGGAAATGAACTCAAGCTCAGGTGTTCAAACGTCAAACAGCTGAGGCAAAATGGCATGTTGCAAAAAGAAGGTTCTTTTTTGGCATCCCCCAAAACATGAAAAGTGCGATTTTTCCCCAGAGAACAAGGGCAGTGGAGATCCACGCGGTCTCATGTCACTCACCTGTTTGCGGCTGCTGGAAACGAACAATAAGGAAAAAGACCCCGCGCGAGTTCAAATGTCGCAACTCTGAAATAAGGTAACATCTTCCCAAAAAAAGGGCTCATTTCGGGCCTCCCAAAACATGAAAAATGCAATTTTACCTCAGGAAAACACAAGCGAAATCCAAAACACACCGTAATTACGCACGTTTTGTGTTTGCCAAGGTGTCAAAAACGCTGTAACTACCACGTTTCTCAAAGTTGATGAATTCATAAAATCGCAACAACTACTCGTTCAGATCCCCGACCCAGCGGGTCGTTTTTGGCGCCTTCCATTTCCTTTTAAGTTCCTTTTTTAAAAGCTTCAAATCGTTCCTTTTTCGGCTTTGGCGCCGAGATCCGGTTTTGGAGCAGGTTTTGGCCAGGAAAAGTTTGTGTCTTGCCACCGTAGTTGCACGTAGTTGGACCACCGCCCACAAATGGCCGTGGCGTTTTTGTTGTTGTTTTGTCGTCTTGTACTGGTTTTTACAGGATTTTGTCTCTTTCTCGCTGTGCCTATGGTCCGTTCTTCAACCTTGTTTTCTCCTTTTTGATGCTACGTTGTGAACTTTCTTCCTAGAACTTGAGACGGTCTTGATGCTACATTGTGAACTTTCTTGATAGGACTTCTGACGTTCTGGATGCTACGTTGTGAACTTTCTTCCTAGACCTTCAGACGCTCTGGATGCTACGTTGTGAACTTTCTTCCTAGAACTTCAGACGCATTTTATATCTATATTTTTTTTTTGGGTGGTGGGGTTGGGGGGGTTTCGGGGGGTTGGGGTGCGGCGTAATAACGTCCTGTCGCCTGTTTTTTTTTTGACTCCGTTGTTTTGATGCTACGTTATGAACGTTTTTCCTAGAACTTGAGACGCTTTTGATGCTACGTTGTGAACGTTTTTCCTAGAACTTGAGACGCTTTTGAGGCTACGTTGTGAACTTTCTTCCTAGAACTTAAGACGCTCTGGATGCTACGTTGTGAACTTTCTTCCTAGAACTTCAGACGCATTTTATATCTATATTTTTTTTTGGATGGTGGGGTTGGGGGGGTTTCGGGGGGGTTGGGGTGGGGCGTAATAACGTCCTGTCGCCTGTTTTTTTTTTTGACTCCGTTGTTTTGATGCTACGTTATGAACGCTTTTTCCTAGAACTTGAGACGCTTTTGATGCTACGTTGTGAACTTTCTTCCTAGAACTTAAGACGCTCTGGATGCTACGTTGTGAACTTTCTTCCTAGAACTTGAGACGCTCTTGATGCAACGTTGTGAACTTTCTTCCTAGACCCCGCAGACTGCTGAAGTCGAATTGGGCGCCAATCGGAAAAGTGAAGGTGCGCACGGATGGTCCCCATTAGCCCTGCATACCGAACATAGTGTAAGAAAAGAAGAAGATGATGATGATGCTGCTGCTGATGATGATGATGGTGTTGATGCTGATGATGATGATGATGATGGTGATGATGCTGATGATGATGATGGTGATGATGATGATGCTGATGATGATGGTGGTGGTGATGATGATGTTGATGCTGATGATGATGATGCTGATGATGCTGATGATGATGATGATGCTGATGATGATGATGCTGCTGATGATGATGATGCTGCTGATGATGCTGATGATGCTGATGATGATGATGGTGATGATGATGGTGATGATGCACAAAAGATGAATGGAGTCCTTAGTTGCGGGCAAAAAATATAATATTTTGCTCGCAGTTACACTGGTTTCTATCATGACAATATTTTCCCCAATGGAACTACGCATGAAACATGTGAAATCAACAGCTGTCCCAAAAACGTATTGGAATTGCGTGATTCAAACAACATTGAACCATTGAAAATGCTATTTTACACCACGGCCGCCTATGAGCGGTGGACCTAGTAGTTCCATGGTCTTTTGCTTCTTGCTGCTTGCAAATCGCATTGGAATGGTTGCGCCAAAGTTTGCGGCGACGATGAGTTTTTGATGATTTTTCTCGTTTTTGGCGCTTTCCCTTTTCCTTTCAAAGTTGCTTTTAAACATGCTGCACAGACGTACTTTTTGTGGCTTTGGCCCGAGATCTGTTTTGGAGCATGTTTTGGGCCAGAGAAGAGCTGAGATGATCTAAGAGTGAGCTGAAAAGAGCTGAGATGAGGTGAGAAGACACGAGATGAGCTGACATGACATGAGCTGCCAAGAGCTGAGAAGAGCTGAGATAAGCTGAGATGAGATGGGATGAGTTGAGACGACTTGACATGAGAAAAGCGGAGAAGAGCTGGGAAGAGCTGAGTTGAGACAAGCTGCGTAGAATGGAGAAGCTGAGGAGAGCTCAAAAGAGAAGAATTCAAGCTGAGAAGAGATGAGAAAAGCTCAGATGACATGAGAAGCGATGAGAACACTTGTGACCAGCTGAGAAGACATGAGATGAGATGAGATTGAAGAGATGAGATGAGATGAGGTGGGGTGGGATGACACAGGCTGCGGTGACAACGTGATGCAGTAAGCAATTTCCAGGAGAAGCTGCAATGCGATGAGATCAGGTGAGATGAGAAAAGATCCAACCTTGAAAAGAGATGGCGCCGGAATGAAAAGTCAAGAGATTGTTGCTGCGATGCGCAGAAGGGTTGGCCGCATCCTATAGGCACAGTCTCTGCTCCGCTTTATATAAGCGTTTCAATTTTGAAACTTCCGCCCTCAGCTTGCTGGGTACTACTTCGAATATGAAACATTGAGGAGGCGGAGGCGGAGGCGGAGGACCTCTCTTTCAACCAGGCAGTAAGCATCAGCAATGGCATGATTTTGAATGCAGAGCCTTCAAGCACGGGTTCTCAGCTTTCCCCCGCAGTTGGTGATATCCTGGTTGGTCTTGTCAATTGAAAAGCTGCGTCGCACATGCCAGGTTCACGAACTCCACGCACACCAGACCAAATGAAAACACTCTTAAACATATCCAAACATGTCACATTTGATGAGGGGTGGGGTAAATGCGTTGCATAGATCCGCAGAAAAGCACGGCCGTTGACAAATAAGCGTGGAAGGCCATGTCCAGTTTGTATGCGTGTATTATATATATATTATATCTATATATGTTTACATTTATTTATGTGTGTTTCAGGCCCGGGAAGTTGCCTTGCACATACACGTGGCTATACTTGTGGACCCTCAAAATAAAGATATGGCTTCTGCTGGCAGTGATTACCCGGTTACCCGGCCACGGTGGATTTTCCAATGGGCAAAATCACAACCAACCAAGGTTCAGCAAACCTGTGGCACTCAACCCTCACCCCTTAGCAGATCTGGACACACCCACTTCTATTCGCTGGGCCTTCAAGAAGCAAAGTAAAATATTGGTCGATAGGACATTGATCAAAAATGGGGCACCAATGGCCTACAAGTACGTAGTCATTTTGAGTATGGAACCTTCGGCTAAAACCACACTGAAACAAACCGCTTACGGCTGGAGCTTTGCATATTGGTCCTCCGCTTATAGATCATCCAGTTGCTCGGTATGAAGCTGGATCTTAATCTTTTGACCCCTCTAAGAAGAAATCAAAAATCATGACCCAGTGACTAGCTATATGCTACTCACAAATCTTGACCTCCGGGACACTCCAAAATTTAGTGAATTGCTGGTCGCTGTCGCGTCACTAGGCTAGAAAAGCAGCCATGCCACCTAGGAGATTTGGGAGATCACTGACAAAGAACTTAACCATCCTTCGCCCTGTACGTCCCTGCTTCGCGCTTCGCCTGTCTCAATCCCCGCTGGTTCTGCCCTCAGCCGCTTTGGGGGCGGCTCTGCCGGCTCCGGCACCAGGTCTGGCTCCAGCTCTGTCAGCAAATGCTCGGCAGCTGCGTCAACGTTGGGATGCCTCGGTGCGAGAAGCCAAGGTCACTGGGATAATCCTGGTCAAAGTGTGGGGAACCGGATCAAATTTTCGTACCTGCGAACCAGCCTTTTTGTACAAGTTTTTGAAGATCATCCACGCATGGCTTTGATTGGCAAGGGATTATCTCGCTAAGTGTTGTATGTCTTGTGCGTAAGGGCTCGAATGTGTGAGATAGTTCACGGGGTGCAAGTGCATTAGAAAAGCCATCAGCCAAGGTGTGGATTCCGCTCATAAAACGAGAAGCAACCCGTTGCTAAGCATGCGTATGTCAAGTTTGCGGATCATCCAGGTAGGGCATGGAGCTACCAATCCCATGAATGAACATGCGCATGGAAATATGCTGCATGCCCTCATGTAGGCTAGTCAGGCGATGGAGAAAGGCAAATGGTTTTGATGTTCAAACGGCAAATTTACCTGGCCAGGCTGGATCGGAAAAGGGTACACAGTGTAGACGTGTGTACATGAGCTCTATATGCATGTATCAAGTTGTGAAAAATACATGCCACGAACTGCTACCCTTTTTAAAACCCCATCAATCAAATAGAAGATATTATGTCAAATAGTGCCAAAACCAGGGTCGGAAAGGATTTTGGAGCCCGTTTGGAGGGCCTTGCTGCGGATCCACTTTTGGTGACTTCTATGTGATCGGGGATTTTTGTCCACCATCTTCTATTTGATTTGATCTTCTATTTGTCCGGTCGGGGTGTTGTCCGCAGCCAAATCAAAAGAGAACATGTTATTTTCAGGGCTATTTGGTATCCTGGTCTGATATGCCAAGGCCCTGGAAGACTGATATTTAGAGTGTTTCTACAGTTTCACGACCGAAAAGCACATATCAATTATATAGACGTAGTAGCTGGTAGTCAAGTAGTAACACATAGTGGCAGGCAGTGGCAGGTAGCGGCAGGTTGTGGCAGGTGGAGGTAGTGTCGGATTGTGGCAGGTATTGGCAGGTGGAGGCAGTGGCAGGCAGTGGCAGGTAGAGAGTGTGGGAGAAACTGGCAGGTAGTGGCAGGTGGGTAGTGGCAGGCAATGGCAGGTAGTGGTAGGTAGAGGTAGTGGCAGGTAGGTGGCAGAAGAGAGAGATGGTGGTACGTAGGCAACAAACCCTCGCGTTTCCTTTACCTTTTTGGAGGTGATCTTGGTCAAAAACCACGGTGGCAAAAAACCAACCAAACAGAAGAAAATATTCCCTGTCGCAAAGGGTCTACCGAGAGGAAAATTTGAAATTTCGATGCCAAGGCTCTAAACGACTGAAATTTAGTAAATTTACAGTGTCATTTGGAGTCGCAAGCGGGCCCTCCCCCAAAAAGGGTTGGCCATTTGCAACGGTTTTTTGAAACCTTCTGTGCCAAAAAAGGAGCAAATCTTTAAGCTTTTAAACCTTTTCAGGAGGTGATGTTGGTCAAAAACCACGGTTTCAAAAAACAAACCAACTAGAAGATATTCTTTGTCTAAAAGAGTTTTCCAAAAGGAACCTATTAAGGTTGTTTGGCATCCTGACCTGTTGTATCGTTTCAGTCGTGGCAATCTCAGCAACTGGGCCTGCGGATAGGTTATGGCAGATGATGGCTAGTAGAGGTAGTAGCTGGTAGTCAGGTAGTAACAGATAGTGGCAGGCAGTGGCAGGTAGCGGCAGGTAGTGGCAGGTGGAGGTAGTGTCAGATTGTGGCAGGTAGTGGCAGGTAGAGAGCGGGAGAAAAAAGCAGGTAGTGGCAAGTAGAGACGGTGGAAGAATCTGGTAGGTAGTGGCAGGATGTGGCAGGTAGTTGCAGGTGGGTAGTGGCAGGCAGTGAGAGGTGGTGGTAGGTAGAGGCAGTGGCAGGTGGGTGGCAGAAGAGAGATGGTAGTCTGGTAGTACGTAGGTAGCAGCAGGTAAGGAGGAAGTTTGTGAGTGACAGTAGATAGCAGAGAGAACAAGTAATTCTGAGTCGCAAAGAAAGGGGAGGGCAACTGAAATGGACGTTTTTTTCGACCTTATCTGCCAAACAACGAGCAAATCCTTGAGTTTTTTTTCCTGGGGAGGTGATGTTGGTAAAAAACAAGGGTTTCAAAAAACAAACAAAATAGAAGATATTCACGGCTGATACCCCGCCCAATTATTTATTGAATATCTTCTATTTGGTCGCTCAGTTTGTGCCCCAATATCTCCTATTTGATGTTCTTTTTTCACCCTGGTTTGTGACTAATTGACTAGCATCACACAAAAAACAAAAACCAAACATTTTTGCATAAGAAGTCCAAAAAAGGGCCGGTCGCAGATGGCACCCCTCCAGCAAAAAAAACCTCTTTGCGGATTTGAACTCTTCTAATATCTTCTTTTGGAACTGGGCAAATACCAGCGTTTCAGTGACCTGGCATATCAGAAGGTGTGCGGATTAAAACCTAAATATGATAGAAATTACTTCACTTCGACTGATCCCCACCATGACATTTATACATTTTCTTACCGGCAAATCTTCTGGCATTCTATCTGACATATCTTCTGGCATTCTATCTGGCATATCTTCTGGCATATGTTCTGGCATATCTTCTGGCATTCTATCTGGCAAATCTTCTGGCATTCTATCTGGCATCTCTTCTGGCATTCTATCTGACATTCATATGTGGCATATCTTCTGACTCTTTTCTTGCATTCTATCTGGCAATAAATTTCTGACAATTCTATCTGAGACATTCTTTCGTGGCATTCTTCTGACATCTTGTCTGGCCATAATCTTCTGACATTACTTTTCTGGCAGTGTCTATCTGGCATATCATCTGACATATCTGATCTGACCCATCTTATCTGACATTCTTCACGTTGAGGTGCGCCAGCAGTGCCCCTGCGATCTGGAAGTCGCGGTTGATTGTCCGGCAGTGCCCCACTGCGATCTGCACTCGCGGTTGAGGTCCCAGTGCCCCACTTGGATCTGACTGCGAGGAGGAGGAGGTACGAGGAGGAGGGAGAAATGCGGAGGCGGAGGAGGAGGAGAACAGCTCTGGTAAAATATAACAACCCTCACCTGGCAGGTGGGGAAAAAAGGACACTAAATAACCATCTAAACCGGTGCTTGGAGGACCCGTTGCGACAAGAACTATCTTCTATTCGGTTTGTTTTTTTACACCCCAAATTTTGCATCTTCTATTTGGTTTAGTTATTTAATATCTTCTATTTTCGTGTCACGTATTATAGGTGCATGGTCGGGCTTTAGAAGAATCTTTTTCCCAAGATAGCTTGGGGTTCACTTACTACAAATATAGGATGAATTGGATATGTGCGTTTTGGGGCGGGCATCCTGGTGGCCCTGGAGGGTGCCGCTGCAGGGTGCTGCTCAGGGTGCTGCTCAGGGTGCTGCTCAGGGTGCTGCTGTTAGTGGTGTGTGCGCTTTGGGGCTGGCCTGCAGGTGCCGCTGCAGGGTGCCGCTTGCAGGTGCTGCTGTGAGTGGCGTGTGCGCTTTCCAGCTGGCCTGCTGGCGCCGCTACATGTTGCCGCTGCAAAGTGCTGCTTCAGGGTGCTGCTGTTAGAATGGTGTGTGCGCTGTGGAGCTGGCCTGCCGGTGCAGAATGCTTCTAATCTTCAGGGTGCTGCTGTCAGAGTGCTGTGTGTGTGTGTGTTTGTGTGTGTGTGTTTGTGTTCCATCTGTATAGATGTAAAACTTCTATAATGTGCAGGGGGCAGAGGGATCTCCAGATGTGGCCTCTGCCAACGAAGCTCCACACTGGATGATCAGGTAAACGTACCTGCTTTATAGTATATATATATATAGTCCCGCCCCTGGGCGCATTTAAGACGCAGCTGGGGGGGACATATTTTAACGCTGTTGTTTTTTTACTGTCAATGTCTACTGTGATTGTACGTCTGTAAATATATTTATATAATTTTCATCCTTCGTGTCAGGTTTAACTGGAGTGTTTTATGCACGTCTGTTGCATTCCACATCAAAATTCGCAATGACTGTTCTGAGCAAGTGTGTGATTCATGCTGGATTCGTTATGATTCGTCAAGGTGGCATGAACCCTTCGGGGAATGCTTGTCTAAGCAAAGAATTGACACTTTGAAACGACCTCTGAATTTACATTTTCGAATCAGTAATTCGTTTATGTAAAGTGAAACAGCTGGCCATTTCTCCTGGTCTCACCTGTCGCTGTCGATTTGTTGAACAACTGGCCGCAGTACTGGGCTTCACCTTTTTTCGCCGTTCCTCTGAATTTACCTTTTTGAATCAGCAATTCGTTTAAGTAAAGTGAAACAGCTGGCCATTTCTCCTGGTCTCACCTGTCGATGTCGATTTGTTGAACAACTGGCCGCAGTACTGGGCTTCACCTTTTTTCGCCACATGATCAGGCAACAGGACATGCTTGCAGGTTTGGTCACTCTTCTTTTTATGGTCGTTGGTGAGGTTCAATTGTGCACGTAATTCAGGGGTTGAAAGCTTAAGCCGTCCATAGGGTTGACTCGAATCTGGGCCGTAGAGCCTTAACAAGGGGAATCTGCACGTTCATGTGGATGCATCATTTGTTTAACTTGTCCCCCATGGGTCCCCTATCTCATGTGTGCCTGCGTTCTCCTCCCTTCAGGTAGGTTGGGTCCTGCGCGTGCCGGGGTAGGCTTAGGTTTCGCTTTGTTAGGTTGGTTCAGGCGCTTCCGTCCTTCCCCCCCCTCCGCTGGTCTTGTTCCGTTGTCCGTCGGCCTCCGCTTTTCTTTTTCTCAGGGTTTGCCCGTTCCGGGCCAGGTGTGTCGTGTTGGTGTTCTCTCTGTCCCTCTTCTTTTGCGTTCCCCTCTTCGCGTCCTGGTTAGGTAATGTTCATTTCATTTTCATTGTCACCTCACTTTCATTGTCATTTCATCTGCCCCGCTGCGGCGGGGCGTGTGTGTGTTCCATCTGTATAGATGTAAAACTTCTATAATGTGCAGGGGGCAGAGGGATCTCCAGATGTGGCCTCTGCCAACGAAGCTCCACACTGGATGATCAGGTAAACGTACCTGCTTTATAGTATATATATATAGTCCCGCCCCTGGGCGCATTTAAGACGCAGCTGGGGGGACATATTTTAACGCTGTTGTTTTTTACTGTCAATGTCTACTGTGATTATACGTCTGTAAATATATTTATATAATTTTCATCCTTCGTGTCAGGTTTAACTGGAGTGTTTTATGCACGTCTGTTGCATTCCACATCAAAATTCGCAATGACTGTTCTGAGCAAGTGTGTGTGCTTTGGAGCTGCATCTTAGGAACGAGGGTGCTGCTGTCAGAGTCCAGTGTGCGCTATGAAGCTTGGGCGCTGGCGTCGCTGCAGCGAGGTGTCTATGGCAGTGTAGACGTTGGGCCCTGATGGAAATTACGTTTATGCCGTAGCAAAACAGGCGAGCGCTTGGTTGCCACCAAAAAATATCTGGGGTCTATGCTGGCGCATTTCTTTGGCGCAGCCTTGTCTGGTGCAAATTGGCTTCTGTCTGAGAAAGCTTCATTCCACAGTTGGGAGTAGCAGAAGATCGTGGAAGGAGGTAAACATCGGTAAACTGCAAAAACCACCTGGCATTACATGGCCAGCCCCTCATCGCCCATCTTCGTGCGGACCCGAGACTTCGCCAGTGCTGCGCGGCATGCTGCTTCACTGCGTCCTGTGCAGCTCACCAGGGCAGACACCGCCTCTGGGTTCGGCGCTGTTGCGGCGCTCGCCGGCGCAAAGGAGGGGCTTGTCGTGGGGTCGCTGGGCGCCTACTAGGGCGATCCCATCATCCCAACGGCATCTCAAATTCATTTTTTTTTTGGATGTTTGAAAGGTGGGTTCTTCTGGTTTCATTGGACGTCTCCAACCCCTTCCACATTTTCTGGACGAATATATTTTTGTGGCTAAATCCCACTATTTGGCGGCAGAAGACTTATATTCCACCGCCCATCCTGCTTCTTTACATCACATTGTGTCCGCCATGTTTTTTCTCAGAGACTGGATATCGTCGTCGCCCCTCCATCTCCCAAGCCTGGTCCATTTCCCCAAAATGTTGTTGCTGATGCTCTGCTAGCCCCCATATCTAAACCATGCCCATTGAGTTCACGTCCTCCTCCATTTCTCGCATCAACTTCTCTGCCGCCATCTCCAAGCGCGCTGTGCCGCTGCCGACGGAGGCCACATCAAGCAGGGCAGCCAGGCATCTGTTGCGCGACTGTCCCGTGCTCTCGCTGAGCAGTGTCACGTCCTCCTCCGTCACCTCCTCAACACCAGCTCTGGGAACCAATGCAAGATATAGAAGCAAATCGCAAATATTGCGGAATCTGCTGGAAGTGTTGGAAGCGAAGATTTACTATTGATCAGCTGAAGTGTAGAAGTCAAACTTCCGACAATGTGGACAAATGAGAAAGCAGAGGTGGGAAGAGTCAGAGAAGAGAAGAGAAGAGAAGAAGAAAGAAGATCAGAGAAGAGAAAGACTCAGAAGAAAGAAGATGCAGGTGCGCGAAAAGGTAGAAAGGTCGCGAAACACGGTCTTTTTCCAATGTTTTGGGGCTCAGGAGGGTCGAAAAGTAGGCTCGCTAGAGATGAACAATTGCACGCCGTTGTGGCGCGAAGCACATCTCGATGTCAAAACGTGCAAAGCACCTCATGTTCGAGGACTTTTGGGAGTTGAGGTTGAAAAAGTGCACACAGCTGTGAGGCGAAGCGCGTTTCCAAGTCAAAATGCACACAACACACCATGCTCGGAACACTTTTGGAAGTTGTAATGTTGAAAAAGTGCAAGGCATTGTGGCGCGCAGCACATTTCTAAGTCAAACTGTTAAACACACCTCAGGTCCGGAGCACTTTTGGAAGTTGAGATGTTGAAAAAGTGCACGCCGTTGTGGTGCGAAGCACATTTTGATGTCAAAATGTACAAAACCATTCTCGGACCACTTGTAGACGTTCACCCCCGCCACACTACACTACAATACACTACACTGCGCTGCACTACACTAAACCACGCTACCACAACAACGACAACAGCAACAGCAGCAGCAGCAACAGCAACAACAACAGCAACAACAACAAAACAACAAC